AAAAAACCTTCAGACAGTTTCTCAACGCAAATAGAAAGAAAACGTTCCAAAGAATATTTAGTTTTAATTCTGGCCGGAAAAGAAAGCTTTGAGCGATTTTCTTGCCTCGAGTTCGTCTTTGAAAAAATCAAACACCGGGAAGTCGGCTTAAAACATAAACTTAAGCTTGAAGCTTGAAGACTCAGGATATTTAGGGACACTTTAATACTTGTCTTCCTGAATGAAAATTGTTGTCTCTGTATATGTTTCACCGAATTATATTTCTTTTATTGATTGTTAGTAGTCTCTCTTGTAATTTTAATCGCTGTGCCGATTGTTTTCAGTCGTTCAGTGAACATCGCTTGCAGGAGTACTCAAAATGCCGTTCGTTAAACCATTAAATAAAAAATAAACATAATAAATTCTTTATTATCTTGGAGCGTAACTCTGTTAATGTTCATTCAAACACTCGCCACAGCTCGCACCACAAAAGTGAGAAACGGATGGCCGTGTAGGTGATTTTGGAAATTTTTTTTTAACAGTTTATGAATATTGAATGAGTGCAATTTGTATTGTGAAATACTGCTTGCTGTCCATGGTATAAAAGGTTGGTTTACACGCACCCAGCTTTGTCGGCAAGATTTTGCAAAGTAAACTTGTCGAACGCAAAAAAGTTGGCCTGATCTTTTTTTCCAGGCCTAATTAATCTAAAGTGATCAATAGCCATTATGGCTCTTAAATGTGATCGAAGATGATTACCAGTTTTTGGGTGTACATATGAGGCTATTAACTCGATGTAAGATTTGGTTCACTCTTGGGCTGTTTGCAAATTATTTTTCTCGAAAATCAGGTAGCCTTTTCCTCAAAAGTCACATAAACGTGCTCTAAAGTTAACTGAATTGTGGAATTCGAATACAAGTTTATTGTTTAATTTAAATTACAAATTTACTAATGGGAGCCTCTCTTTTAGCCCTGGCTAAATCTATATATTAGAAACACACATAAGAAACGATCGGTCCCTAAATTACTTGCAGGCATTCGTGCATGCATCAAAGCTCAAGTTTAAATCAAAAAGAGCAAGAAAAATTGTGAAGTTTGATTAAAATGACCAAAAATAAAGCCGAGCGTTGTCACTTTAACTTACTTTTTTTCTTCCATTCGGCATTGAGCTTCTGCTTCCGTATAACGACAGGTAATCGATAAGCGGAGACTGACTTCGACTCAAGGCTGTATGTAGCTGTATGTACGAAGCTCAAGCAGTTTCCTTTACTCTGACCTCAGTTCAGATCTCATGCTTGTCCCTCACATATTGTTTATTAACTTAACCGGTGAAAAAAAATCAGCATATGCACAACAAAGATCTCAAAGATCTAGATCGATCCGAACATGGACAATAATAGTCTTTCTATTATCCATGATCCGAACGTTCAGAAACCAAGATGGCCGCACTTGGACGGGACGATGAAAGACTGGATCCTAGCACCCGTGTTTTGATGGTTTTGGCGCGAATTTCTGAACGCTGCTGCCAAACTCTCTTCATTCGTTCAATCACAACAAAGATAGAGATGACGTGTATCCATTGAACTGCAGAGAGCAAGAACAGGACTTTTATTTTTTCCTAAGCTTTCCTACATCGATTTGTAACCCTTTTCTTCGATGATTTCATTTTAATAATGGGAAACTGGCTGAAAAGGTAAGTGCTGTGCTTTCCTTTCGATAAATGGGTTATCTTTATATTTTTTTCACTCTTTTGTAAAAAGATGTCGATGCTTGTGAGGTTTAGAAAGGAACTACATTTTAGTTTCTTCTCCCGATCTGCTTCTTCTCATTTTTCTTTACTAAAAAGGTCGTGCGTCCATATGAAGTTGAGCCATTAAGCTTAATTGTTTTAAACAACAATAAAGCAGCACAGTTCTTGTAATGAATCAGTTTAAGGTCCATAATAGAGGATTGACAGAAAAGTCCTTTTTTGTATTTACTGTTCTATAATGTTGTTTAGTGTTTTCATTTTCAATTGTCGAGGAACTGAGCACAGAATTTTAACGCTTTTGGCGCAGCTATAGGCTGTTGATGGCTGTTGATGGAGTACTTGTGACCTAACAAATCCTTCTGTTTTTCACCTCATGTAATGGAATCCAAGAGGCTAGGGTCTTACTAGTAAAAAGTATTTACAGCAAGTGCCATGGCTTTTAGGCATGGAAGATACGGGACTTCCAAAGCAAAAAAAATGGACTTGCAGAGACGAGCAGCTCAGAGTCTCTAGAGCAGAGCAGCTGAGTACTGACAATGGCTTCAGCAACAGATGAGTTGTTTGTCAAACTACTGTAAGTAACATTACATTTGACATTGGCAGAGGACACAAGATTTGTTAAACTTTACTATATGACAGCGGTAAAATTGATTAATAAAAATATGTTTTAAAATGTATTAAATTGCACTAAAGTTCAATATTTGTGTGGCTGTATTTGTGGTAAAATTTAGCAGCACAATCCTCAACCAATGTCCGCTGCATTTTAATAACACTAAAACATATAAAATTTATTTGTTGTCAAAATTATACTATATCTTGGAGAATACTTCACTTCCAAGTCATTGTTATAATTTTTAACCACAATAAAGCATATTTTGTCAATTGGTTATTTAACAATTATTCTTTGAAATCGAAGTGAATAGTGGCAAAATATTTACCGAGCCACGAAGTGGCGAGGTAAATATTCCTAAAGCCACTATTCACCGAGATTGAAAAGAATATTGTTTTAGTACATACACACGAAGTGATCTCAACAAAATCAGAGAGGAAACCATCAAAAAGTACGATTTGATTGACAGATCAGGTCAGCTAGACACGCGACAGTTTAAAAATAGATCTTTGTACAATTTTCAAACATGGCAATTCACAAGCCTATCACTTCGCAAACAACAGCGCAATGACTTAAATGGAACCGCTAAAAGTTTGAATAGTTTCCTTACCTGAGAAGAAAAGAAGGGCTTTGTTGTTTTCTGTTGACTCGCCAAGTTTATAGCCGAAAAGGTTTGTTGTGTCGTTCTTCACATGAAGTGCTGACAAAAATGGCGATTCGGTTCCTCGAGGTAAGACGTCGTCTTCATGTAGCATTCTTTCTCGTGTTTACTTGAAACGTAGAATTTCTGCAAACATTTGCTTTCAAATTTGTTTGTCATAAATAAACTTCGTTTTTGGGCCAAATTTTTCTTGTTAGGAAATGCTGAGTTCACGAAACGGCCTCTTCCAGGCGAATAAACGGGAGTTGTAAACAATCCATGGACCACAAAACTCAACAACAGTAAATGGAAAAACGCCTTTTTTTGCCTTCGAAGTCTTTTCTTGCCTGAAAAAAAGTCAACCCTAGGATTTTGTCGACTTTTAAAAGATCTTTCTCTAAGAAAATGGAAAAAAAACGAGCTCACACATTATCCCCTCGCTAGGAGGTGAATAGTCCGAGATAGCGAACCAATCAGATTGCTTAAATCACCAAGATCACTGAGTGTGTATATACTAATAAAAAATATGACATGTTTCTAGCATATGAGGTTCACGCAAGATTTTACTTGTGATGAAAATTAATATATTTGATGGGGACAGGGGATCGGCATCTCGAAAAAATTCTGCTGAAGAGAGGGTCTTCATATTCTACAGGTCTGGAGCTACCCGTCAAATCCCACCCAGCAGCTTAAGAAGTAAAAGGTGAAAATTAAACTTCAGAAAATCATAGGGAATTTATAAGATAAGCTTCGAAAATTGTAAATAGCTTTAAATTAAATGAATGGAACGGTCATCTAGACATTTTTTGGCAGTCCTCAAGTAATAGAAAACTCTAGGCAATATTTGCTTCTCCGAACAGATATTTTACAGAAAACAGTCGTTGGGTACCCCTGAATGTAGGATGAATTTGGCTAACCAAGGGTAGCTCGAGAAGGCGAGTAACCCTTCCTTACAAGGAGAGAGGGTTACCCTTGTGCTGGGGTTACCCTAGCAGGCGGGTTAAAGTTAGTTCTGGTTTACAAGCAAATTTCACATGTAGGGTTACCCTACCACCCGGGTCAACTTTTATTACCAGCTTTACTGACGTGTTTCGTCATGCGTGACATTCTTTGTAACGTCCAAGATCTGAAATAAACTTGAAGTTCTCTATGGAAAAAACGTTAAATTTACGAAAACAGGGAAAATATTATCATTGTATGCAGAAAATAACTTTTTAGTTATCAGATATTTATAATTAACTTCAGAAATTGGATAATACCGTTCAAATTGGCACGATTACTGGTCACGCATGACCGCGGAAAGTTGACCCGGGTAGGCGAGTTATCCCTAGCTTAGCGTTTACAAGGCAGGTAGGGTACCCCTCTTGCTAGGGTAACCCTAGCACTCAGGTAGGGTTACCCTAACCCTAACCCTTGTAAACACGTCGTGTGAAAAAAGAATATGCGACAGCTATAGGTTAACCCTCTTGCTAGGGTAACCATAGCATCAGGGGCTACCCTCCCTTCTTGTGAACAGGGCCTTAGACACAGTTATCAACAAAACCATGTGACATTTGACAATTCTATGTATTGTTATTCAGTTGGCTAACTTAGCCGTCTCCTCCTTACTTGGTATGTTTTAACTTCGTTCATATAAAACATGTACAAATCCCGAATCTAAAGATCGAGGCTAAAGAGAAATAGCGCTAAACATGTTGAAATATCACAGGTTCTTACTTTATACTTTATGCTTTCACTCAGTAAGTCAAATCCTAGTTTAAACGTACGTGTTTAAAATAACTTAAATGTGGACAACACATTAAAGCTAATGGAAAGTATCTTTAAGTACTAAGCCTCCTTTTGAATCTTTCACAGTATACATTAGGCGTGATACATGGCATATTTATCTCCTGTAACGCAAGTTTAGCGTTCCTGCCCAAGGGATATCGCAACCGACCATTGAATGGCGATGGAAATGGCGACAACAGCGCAGCTCTTAAAATTCTCGACTAACAGCACAACACGACTGATTTCATATTTCTTCATGTCTTCACTCCGTACATTGGGTTCATAAATGTTGTAGTTGTCGGTTTGAAGATCGGATTCTCAGCCTAGTGTATAAATTAAAGAAAAATAACAACTTCAACAAGAACTGAAGAAAGAAAAACAAGTTTTTGGTACTGATAGAAAATGGCAAGAGCTGGGTTAAATTACTGCGAATTCCACGTAAAATATGAAATGCCACTAATTATTTTCGCACACTAGTGTTAGCCTCCTCGCATTTCGATTGTGATTCTGTCTGGTTTTGGTATCCAATTCCTCTTAACAGAAATGTTTTTGAACAGCCATAGTAATAATGTATAATTTTATAAAACGAAAGAGTGTTTTCAAAACACTAGGTGAATCTTTCCTTTAAATTTGTTTAATCAGTAGGGTTCGTTAGGGTTGCTCTACATAGATCTGATGGACCCATTTTAAAACAAAATACATAAATTCTCTGGAAACTTACCACAACACGCTTTGCATTCATTTGTTCCTTTTCAAACTGCGCAAATGCTCTTCGATCCTAGAAAAACCAACAATTAGGACTTAATTTAGGCGCCAACTGCAAGCACTGTTGTTAGCTTCTGTGCTTTAGCAGCTCGATTTCCAAAAAAGGTACTGTTCGTGTTTGCACGACTTTTGAATGGCTTTTCAAGTTTCGTTTGATTTCAGAGGTCGTGCAGTGGTAGAAATGATGTTAAGCTTGCGTACAAGCATCTTCTTTTCATTATGGTTAAAAGGACATAGGGTTCTTGTGAAGCTCGTGCGATAAAACTGAGAAGAGACTATTTTATCCTCAAAGCTTAAGATATGTGAAACGTATTCAATCAGTCTTGATACCACACGAGTTTAAACTTATTAAAGCTTTAAAATATTTCTTTAAAATATTAGTAAATGAAGTATCATTTTTTTCTTTGCATTTCTACTAAACGAGCAAGCACTACTACAGCCTACTACGCCAACTCAACCTCTACCTTTAGACCTGTTATACAACTGCTACATGATGTGGAACTTAACCCTGGACTTGCAAACTGCTCTAGTGGAGACAAGTCAGAAAAGTCAAATGGCAATGTTAAAATCGCACATCTTAATGTTCGCTCGCTCAAATGCCGTGAGCATTTCGTTCTTGTAAAGAATGCGGTACTGGAAAATAAGTTTGATATATTTACCGTATCCGAAACATGGCTCAACAGTTCAGTTACGGATTTGGAGATAGAAATCCCTGGCTATGTTATCTACCGAATCGACCGACAGGCGAGGGTTGGCGGTGGAGTATGTGCTTATGTCTCACGAAATTACAGGACGGAGTACTTGAGTGACATTTCTCTTATCACGGCCTCTGGCTTCCATCAACTGTGGCTAAAAATCCACGTCAGAAACATGAAGTCCTTCCTTGTCTGTACAACCTATAGACCACCGGACACTTCTTTATCTTGTTTCGATTCAGATCTTACAGAGAACTTTATTTATGCCTCGTCGTTTAATGTTCCAATTTATCTATTAGGTGATTTGAACTGCAGACTTGAGAATAGCGACGATCCTGGAGCTAAAGCCCTTGTTAACTTTTGCCGTTCCTATAACTTGTCAATATTGATCAACACACCAACACGAGTTACAGAGACTTCGAAATCAATTTTAGATGTTATCCTTGCATCGGATACAAGACAAGTCCAAACGGCTACAGTTATGGAAAGCTCGATCAGCGACCATGAGCTAATTTATGTCACCTTAAGGCGCGCTCCAAACCCATTTATATTACTACCAGAAGTTTTAAACACTACAGTCCTATTGATTTCAGCAATGACGTATCATTGGCACCGTGGTCCATAGTCGATGTTTTCGACGATGTCGAGGATAAAATTTATGCATTTGATTCGCTGTTTACTGAGATACTCGACCGTCATGCTCCAGTTAAAACCTTTAAAGCACGCTGTAAGCCAAACCCATGCGTAACCGACAACATCCGCGGATTGATGAAGACCAGGGATGATTGGCGTAAAAAAGCAAAGAAAACAAATGACCCGCTATCCTGGACTGCCTACAGATATTTCAGACAGGAAGTAAAGAGGGAAATTAGAATTGCTGAACGAGAATTTGTTGCTGAACAAATCCAAAGGAACCCAAATAACACCAATAATATCTGGAAAGCAATCCGCCAGTGTGTCCCCAATAAATCTACATCTCAGCGAACATTTAGTAAGAGCGTCAAATCTGTTGCAGACGAATTTAACCAGTTCTTCGTATCTGTTGGTCAGAGCACTGTTGACAAAATTACGTCCCTGGCTAATGAATGTAACTTAACACTTAATCAGAATTATTTCGTGCCGAGACAATACGCTTCCTCTGACCAGTTCACAATTAGTACCGTTGATTATAAACAAGTAGAGCGTATAATAGCAGCGATGCCTTCAAACAAGGCCCCCGGGATAGATAAAATTCCGATCCGTGTCATCAAAGACTGTCTTAATCCAATTGTTCACCCAATAACGTCTATCGTTAATGCATCCTTTCAAAACTGTGTTTTTCCATCAAAATGGAAAACAGCCGAGGTTACACCCATCCTAAAGGAGGGCGACCATGAACAGGCAAACAACAATAGACCCATCTCACTTCTACCAGTTTTATCGAAGGTTTGCGAAAGGGTAGTACATAATCAACTCACCTCGTATCTGCAATCAAATGACACCCTATCAAAGACTCAAAGCGGTAACAAGAGATGGCACTCTTGTGAAACATCTGTCATTGAAACAACAGACACAATTCTTAACGCCATCGATAAAAAGAAGTTAATGGCAGTTGTACTATTAGATATGAGCAAAGCCTTTGATAGTGTCAATCATGACACGTTAATTTTAAAATTGCAAGATGTCGGAATTTCCAGTGACACTCTCCAATGGTTTCGTAGTTACCTAAGCAACAGGTCACAAGTAGTACGAATCTATTCAACGCTATCTGAGCCTTTGTCTGTGACCAGTGGCGTTCCTCAAGGAAGCATCTTGGGCCCACTTCTTTTTAGCATATATACGAACGATCTTCCATTGATCCCATAGAAATGCAGCACCCAGAGTTATGTAGATGATACGAAACTCATCACTTCCTTCGAGCTTAAAGCCAACCTGGATGCAATTGCTGATTTGGAAGACGACCTGTTTAAAATAGGGGAATGGTGTTCCAACAATCAATTGTTACTAAACCCTGGCAAAACCAAGTTGATGATATTTGGCAGCAGGCAGATGCGTGCAAAATTCCAATTTCGTTACCTTTCCTTTATGGGTAAGGACATTGTCCCTACAGACACCGCCAAAGACCTTGGTGTGACTTTGGATTCTAATTTAACTTACGATGAACATATAATTAAAACCGCTTCCTCGTGCATGTCCCGCCTTGGCCAGATAAACCGTGTCAAGCATGTCTTCGACAAACGTACACTTTTGATGATTATTAATTCCTTAGTTTTTAGCAGGTTATTTTATTGCTCCAATGTTTGGTCAAATACCTCAAAATGTAATGTCAACAAGTTACAGGCAGTGCAGAACTTCGCATGCCGCATTGTTAGCGGCGCACGTAAATTTGACCATGTTACACCAATTCGCAAGGAGCTAAATTGGCTTTCAGTTCCCAGTCAGCTTTATTACCGGAACGCTACAATGGCTTTTAAATGTATGACCGGTCAAGCCCCTGAATACCTTACATCAAAATTCATAAAGCGAGCAGAGGTTAGCCGACGTAGCACCAGAAATTCACAGCTTTTACAAATTCCCTTTTTTAGAACAGCTGCCGGTCAGAGAACATTTTTCTATAGAACTGTGAACTTATGGAACTCCTTAGACAATTCCTTTAAACTGTGTAACTCGATTGATGTTTTTAAAACTCGTTTACGTACTAAATTACTTAAAGAATTGTAATTTTATATATATTTTAAAACATTTTTAATTGTAAATAGGATCATGTATTGTCTTTGAAAAGCCCCTTGGGAAAGTCAATAAAGTATGTATGTATGTATGTATGTATGCCGTGTTGTTTGGTGCTGGCAATCGGAGACTAGTCTTATGCGAGAACGTACGTTTCTTTACGGGGTACAATTAATTGTTAAATTCTAAATTTTATATTATATTTAATGCTGGCAGCTCACAGGGAGGTGCATTTGACTCAAGCAAATCCGACTGAGCCAGAGGGTGTGGACGAACATGCACAGTGCGTGATATAAGCTTACCTGAATGGTGGCTAACACTCTCCATATAAGTAACAAAGCCAAGGTTACAGCTAAAACTGCTCCTATGACGCTGACAATTACTGCTATAGCATTCATCTCAGATGGACAGTCTACAATGGAAATGCAACAAAAGCATTTTTAGTCACTCACAAGGCTTACAAGGAATAACCTTGACATTCATGTGCAATGATCTCTCAAACTTCACTGAGTGAATTATCACTTCAGTCACTTAAACAATCAAACGCCGCCAAACCCCCGGTACTATTTTTTTATCTTTAAAGTTGGCTTAAAGACCTTTATTTTTCTGGGTAAAAATCTTGAGTTGGCCGTCTGGTCCTTCCGTGTAGGCGAAGGTCAGGTAACAGTCCTCTTCATCTAGAAAACGACATTGCTTACCCATATCTAACAGATAAAAACAACAGAAAGAAATACATTGTTTAGCCTACATCAGAATGGAAAACAGCATGGTAAGATTTTCACACAGTTCCTTTTAGTACACTCATATCTGAGTTCAATATGGCTGGATATTGGCCAACTGCTCTTTATTACTTTGCTTTTCATGGACCGAGACGCAGTCGTCTACAAGTAGGTCAGTAAAAACGCCAGAAAAAATGAGCGCGCGTAGCATTAGAATCGCATGAAAAGTGTCAACGAGTTAACTTACCAGGTGTAAGCTTATCTACTGGAGTAATGCTGTAATCTTTGCAAGTTCTTGAACACTGGTCTTTGTCTAATTCCCCCGTGCCAAACAAACGGCACTCCACGCATGCCCGGTTGGCCTCGCAAGTTCCAGTGCAGCCCTGCAATACAAATAGGTCCGCAATGTGTATGTTAGCAAGTTAACAACAAACAGTATTTTGCAAAATAATACGAGACATTTTTATAGGGAAGCATTCTCTTCGTGGGGTGGCATTTGTCGCTTGCACTAGGGTCAATCACTCTCCTTCCTATCTTTTCGGCCTCGGTAAATAAAACCCTTCTAGATCTGCAAAATTCCTCATATCATACTCAGCCTCATTCAATAGCTTTTAATTGATCTATATTTAGTCGTGTTCTTGGGTTTGACAGAAGATGGTAACCTGAGAAAGGTCAGGAGCCGAGACTAGAAGGGTTCCCTGCGGTGCACTTACCACGCAATCATCGCAGAAAGTTCTTCTGTAGGGCAAAGTAGCGTTACAAACACATGCCCCGCACCTGCAGCTTCCTCTGCCGCTACAAACCATCTAAAACGATAGGAAAAATTTTATCGTTGATGTAAACATAATTTGAGCCTTTTGCTTTTGTTTTTCCTTCCTCATGGAGTTTTGACAACCAAGAGACCTGCAGGAATATTTTCTAATAAAGTCTAATAAATGCAAATTACGAGACGCAAAACTATACTAATTAGTTGGGAGATATAACCATTACGTTTTTAGTGAATACTTTAAGTATTTTTTATTATGGGCACGTGACTTCTTTCTTGCACCTTAGTAGCGAAGCTCCAGACAGCACCATGGGTAAGAAAATCTTGTAGCATGGATGCGTAAAGGCTGAAAAACGGTCCGTGGAGGCTTTTGGGAAAGGGAGTTTTGAGAAAACAAGGGATCTCTTGGGAGTAGAATGCCCAGTTCCCTTTTTTGGCGGGAAATCACATCATGCTCTTTCTCATGACCGTCTTCGACTGGTTTTAGAATGATAAATTCATTACATTTAATGCTGAGTTCGTCAGTGCGTGACTCTGTTTTGCACTTATTTCACGTATGTTAGTGGAGTTCCGCTTTTAGATTTGCCTTAATAAAAACTATATTAAGAACATACTGTAAAATCTCTATTAAGCCCCCTGGGGGGGGGGGGGGCTTATCTATTTCAAACACATTTGAGGGGGAGCTTAATAGAGACGGAGGGTCTTATTTAATTTAGCAAAGAAGATGGTATCAGTTCTCCATAAAGAACTAGAATGTAAAACTCAAGTACAGGAGTTTGGAGGTCATGCAGCCGAGGATCAAAAACAAATACGAACTTCCAGCTGCTAAGTAAACCATCCTGGATCAGTCCACACAAAGTTTTACATTCGCAATAGGACTCCTGACAGCCGTGGTTGATAAATACTGTCTATCATTTATCAGTGAAGAATTATAGGGGGAGGGGAGGGGGGGGGCTTAAAAGACCGGAGGGGAGTGGGGGGCTTATTACCTTTCTTTCCCTGAAAAGGGAGGGCTTAATAGGGGATTTAAGTTAAGTCAGACAAATAAACAATAACTGCTCTTCTACTTCCGCTTGACAAGTGCCGTAAACGTTTGCTCTTTACTTCTAATAACAACAGAATACATGTATGTTCCTTGTGATCATTTTTCTAGTTTAAGACTTACCCCGTCCTTGGTGCAGCTCTTTAAATCTGTACTGCAGCTACATGAAGGCCCTGTCCAATTCCGCCGGCATTTGCATTGACCGCAGTCGCAAACGCCGCGCTCTGTGCGATAAGAAAAGTAGTTCAGATTTTTACATTATTTGGTGTTAAAAAGGGATCTACCCATAACGTCACATACATGTATATAAAACGCAACTGGCAAGGCAGGCTGTTTAGATTGGACAGATTTCGACCAACTGAATCGCAGTAATCGCTACAGAAGTTTGCGAAACACCATGGAGTATCCTTGCATTTTCTTAAGATAAAGGTGCAAATCTTTTGTTTATTTAACTCCTAGACATCCTCGTTATCATAATGCATAATTGATGTATATAACAATGTCTTCTTTTCTCTCTATAAGCTATTGGAAAATGTAAAATCAGTCTGTATCAAGATGTAATAATAAAAGATGTTATTGTTGTTGTTGTTGTTTGCGTGTTTAAAATGGAGGCATGCTTACTTTGACATGGGATATACTATAATTTAGTGCATATGCTTTATAAAGTATATCATTAAAAACTTTGATTCGTTTAGGACAGTGTACCCGAAATCAGAAGTGGACCAAAAAATGTAGAAAGGGGTACTCGCAACACTTGCTAGTTATATTAGCTCGTATTTATTTTACTCAGAAGTTTTGAAAATGATACAAAATTGTACAAAAAAGGGGGGGCTCCCTCAAACCACTCCTAAATACGACTTCCATGGAAATGTTTGAAATAAATGTAAGATTTTTTTTGTTTCACTGAATTATAAGGCTATAACAGTGACCTAATCTTTGTTCTCAGAAAGTCTGAATTAGCTGCTCAAGCCATGTACGTATAGTGGAATCTCATGAGCCTCTATATAACCAACTCCTCGGTATAGCGAACAATTTCCTTTACCCCAGAATAGTAGAAAAAGGAAGAGAACCTCGATAACGAAACCTGGTTATAGCGAACCATTTTTGCTAGTCCCTTAGCCCTTCTTTACATCGAGGTTTCACTGTAGTACAATAAACGATGTGGAAGTACACACCCCTTGTCAAGCCTACCTGAGCCTCCACATATTTCTCCATTATCCGGGTCTTTGGGACAACTGAAGCTATCGCACTCACACTCGTCACCGTAGATCAATCCATTTGAAACCTGTGTTGAGAATGAATGAATAATTAGCCCTCAATATTTTACTTGAAATTCCCGACGAGTCGTGGTTCGTTTCTTGAACCAGACCTGAACAACATAATCCAACCTTGTTAAAGACAACAATGTTAGATAATAATATACCCTTCAATTTGGATCAGCTTTTTGGCGATACACTTGCGATTGCAACAGAATGTAGGGATATCACATGAATATAATGAAAAAATGTAAAGTCTTGGGATTCTCGTTTAAAATGGATCAGATCGAATTGACGGGGAAAAGCGAGGAAAGCGTGACGATGAAGTATTGAACTCTTTGGACGTTCAGATATTACAGACCAACGCTTTTCGTGAAACAGCCTTTTGCCTAATATTCAATATTATGTTAGTCAAAAGAAATGTAAGAAGTGCCTTTCATCTTGTCGTCTCAATTAATCTCTTGCTTACCATTCTTATGATCACAACAATAAGGGTAGGTCGGTGATGGATTGGCACCCAAATTATCCAGGGGGAAGTGGTTATAATCCCATGCCCTTCAACTGCTTACACGAATCAAGAAACTTTGGCCATTTGGGGCGCGTGTGATAAGTGGTTTTCATTTCCATCAAAATTATAAGGACTTACCTCGCTGTTATTGCAGTAGCATTTTCCTCATTTACAGTTTCCTCGGCCACTACATGTCTGGCCACTACTGTCACTTGGATGAACACAAAGTGTCAATAGCATCAAAAGTATATTAGACAACGAACAAATAGGCAGCCTGATGTAGTTTTTCCAAGGCGGTCTCACCTCTTTCGATTCCAAGATGGCGAATAGAGATGAGAAGAAGAAAAACCCCCGTACCGGAACTGGTTTAAGTAGTACAAAACCAAAAATTGCAGTGGTATCTACACCTGATGCTGTTGCGAAATTTGACTGATTGAATCCAACTATTTTTTTGTTAATCCGATTCTATTAGTTTTATCATTATATTCAGTGTGTGTGCTGCTTATTCTTAGTCTTTGCTTTTGGAGTAATATGACCACATTGTTATTGCATCTGCGCGTAGCGTCTCTTATTGGAAATTATGGACACAAACACGGAACACACAAAAGCAAAAGCTTACATTGGCAGTGAGGCAACCCAGTTATGAACATGTTGACGTTAAAACATACAAATCACATGGTCCTATGATTCGGTCCTGAAGAAAGATGAATTTTGGCTAAAAAGAAAGCCATAATCAACTTTTTCCAGGAAAAGTTACACTTCCAACAGTCTCTTATTTTCTTCGAAGTCACTGAGGTAGCCTGCACGCGCGAGCCGCAAACCTCGACGGACCTAAGAAAAAAGGCGGACTGCAAACAGTCTAAGATAAAGGGATAACCCAGCGTAAATCGTTTAAGTCGCCATGCATTTCTGTTAGTAAGGGAGTGTTTTTTTTAAACAGGATGAGTTGCAGGTCGATTAAATGATTCAGAAGCTTTAGAGCACAAAAACAGAAGATTGAAACACTGTCACAAGTGCTTATTTAAACTGGAGTGAAATCAAGTGAAAAATGGATACCTTGGACATCCTTTACCCTGTACTGTCGCACTTTGTAATAATCGTCGCACTTTGTAATACCTGTCGCACTTTGTAATAAAATTGTCACACTTTGTAATACCTGTCGCACTTGGTAATAACACTTGTCGCACTTTGTAATAAAAAAGCTGTCGCACTTTGTAATAACAGACCATCGCACTTTGTAATAAAAAAAGCTGTCGCACTTTGTAATAACACTTGTCGCACTTTGTAATAAACTTGAAATAGATGGTCGGAGGACAAGTAAACCCAGTAATCAGTGTCATCATCGACAACAACAACAACGACTGATGATGATAATAATAATAATAATAATAATAATAATAATAATAATAATAATAAAGTAAAAACTTGCAAGAGGTGACAGGCCGCAGATCTTCACCGGCGTGAAACCTTTGAAAACCTTTTACATATTGCTCCATTGAGGAGAACTCTTTCAGGGATCTTACAGTTTAATATTTGAACCATGATATAGCTTATATATAGCAGACCAAGATACGGCTCGTTACAGTTTATGTTCAGCAAGGGAAAATTGTGTAAGTTGAGCAGAACATTTAAAATGTGCAACAGACAATTTGTTCAGTACGCGCGTATTCCTGTTGAAATTGTGGCCCGTTTATGAGATTTGTCTACTCAAAAATATAATAATTTTTCCATAGCTGCTGTAATCTTAGAGTATCTGCTTTTAATATCTCCGTAAAGTTTAGGCAGTTTCGCGATCTCCGAGAACAATGTTCAGCTGTACACAGCACGTAGCCTTTAACTATATCCAGATCTAACACTGGTTTTGTGTGTTTATCACAATGATGCCGTTTCATGTAGGTTCCAGCGTATTCGAAATTTCCACAACATTCATTAGTAGTGGTCATCGTGGCACAATGACGTGATATGCAATGTTTTAAAGAACATTTTAGAGCGAAAATAATAGTGACAATAATGATGATGATGACAATGATTGTGGCACCGGGTTGTGCTCTGAGTTTGTGATTTTCATTTGGTTTTATGAAATACAGTATAGCTTATTCATGGTAATAAATACAAATCAAGTAATATCTCTGTATATGTCTCAAGTAATACCTCAAAGGTAACGAAATCATAGGTTTTCTAGTTTCCTGTGCTAGTAGTAAAACTTTAAAAATATTTTGCTTATACGATCACGT